GTAGCGGGCAGGGAGGTGATAGAAACGGATGAAACAGGCCAAGGGCAAGAGAAACAAGGGGAAGCAGTGACCATGGAGCGGGCAGGCACCCTGGTGAAGCAGACGGCTACTCTATTAGTCAGGATGACTTGTCTTGCAGATGAGAGAAAAACCCAACTGGGAATGCCTCCAACAATAAAGAAAATTTATTGGAAATATAACCTGAAGTCCCAATAAAGTGTGGGGTGACTCCAGAAGTTATTAATCTGTGGCATCATTAATAAAACCAGATTTTCTTCTTTGAATCTTTCATTCTGTCTTCTTCAGCATATCATCCTTGCCTTCACAATCACAGGTCAGCTGCAGCAGTAGCAGATGCCACCATCCCAAAGAGAAAATGAGAACACAGTACCCAGAAATCCCCAACACACCTCCTCTATCAAAAAAGGAGAGTTGTATGCTCCTCTCTGGACTGACCACTGGTATGCAAAGTAAGATCATTATAATTGAGTTCAAGTGACAAGAACTTATCTGGGTGATAATTAGGATCACCTTATCTAAAAATGAGCAGTGCATAAAACTGGGGTTCTGAAAGCAAAGAAGAAGGGGGGGATATTAGGCATTCAACCAGCAATATTTGCCCCACCATCTGTCAACTAAGTTGTGGCCGTTAAGGGCCATGTGGTTCTAGTGTTCACAAACTGATTACTTTAGAAGCTTGGAATTTTGATGTTTATATAAGATCTCCCACTTTTTAAAAATGTAGGCAATAAATTCAAAACATTTAAAAACACTATGTGGTCAACATCTTTCAGTCCAAATAAAAGACATCTGTAGTCCAAACATGTCCTGCAGGTCACCAGTTTGCAACTGCTGGTGTATGCTACTGGTTTATTTAACTAAAACTTTCTCTATTTAGAAAGTAAAGTTCAATTTTACCATGTTAGTAACTGAATTAACCAAATATCAATCACAATTTTATTTTGATTGGGTAGGTTTTGCTCAACTTTAGAAAACCTCAAATGACACAGTTAATAAATATTTCAGAAAACAATGTAGGCAGGAGACACACCACATGGAAGAGACAACATTTATAGAATTTTCTTCTTAACTGAGGGTTTTGATTTGACAAGTTAAGTATTAAAACAATGAAGAAGTCACAATGCATTTAATAATAAATGTGCATTTTCCCCTTCCCTTCCAGTCCCCTGTGATTTTTATTTGTTTTCATTAGAAGGTACATTAATTACCATCACATGAGCAAATCAAAGTGTTCAAGGACACTCAAGCAATTAGTTAGCATGATAATAAAAAGAAGGGGTGCATAAGAAAAAAATCAACTAACTAGAGAGACTTAAAGTTTATACATATCTCTTTTCAATAATCTTCCTTTCCAAACTATGGACAAAAATTTTTAAATTGATACACATATTCTCAAGAGTCAGGCTTTCTTGAAAAATGTTACTGAATCTCTTCAAAGGTATAGCAGGAATCAGGAAAAGTTAACCTCCTTAGTGTAAGGAGCACATAGTGAGAAAGTATGTGTTTTTCTCTGTTCTCCAGGTTTTCAAGACTTCCCATTTCATCCCAGGTCCATTAATTCTTGCTTAGTTGCTGTTTCAGACTTTTGGATTGGAGTCCTAAAAAAATAAAACTGTTAATTAACTTGTCCTACAAATGTAGACATTTTATGCGTATATGTAAATCGGAACTATTAAGAAGCTAGAACCAATTCTCTGATCTCTACTTCCTATTGGATAGGTTATTGGAAACATCAAGAGTGAAGAAGTGGAAACCTGAGAGGGAAGGAACACAAGGAGAGAAAAATACCATCCTGGGGTCCAAAGAGTCATCTGGACACTTATCATAATATGGAAAGGAGAGGTGACCAGGTGTGGGTCATTATTCTCTGGGAGATGGAGTCCATTCCCACTGTCCTTAGGGACTATTCCTGAGAAAGTGGGGAAATTGGAGGTCACCATAGCTTTCTAGCTCAGATACTTTCATCTTCTTCTTCTTGGTTAGTGGCCACACTCAGAAGCAAGATTTTCATGTTAATATCCACCAGACAATCAACAGGTACTGTTCTTGGTGAACTTCTTCTAAGAACACATGGTTGGAACTTTTCCCTTGTTAGTAAGGAATGATACATTATTATAATAATTAGACCATGGATCTCTTATGTTAGATGAAGACATTGCTTATCTTAAAAAACAGTAGCAGTTTCTTTGTGCTAAATTAGATGCAAAAATAATGGTAGGTCATTAGAAATGCAATGTTTTAATCCATCTTAACAGAATTATTTCCTTCATAAAAAATATTCTTTACCTCCTCTTCACTCGTTAATTCTACCCAACGTCAGGGGCCAGTTCAGATTCCAACTACTCAGTCAATGGATCCTCCTCTCCCTTAAGCACTTTAAACCCATTCATTTTCTCCTCACTGTGTTCTCACATTCCTATCTGTTATGGTTTCCACCTGGCATGTCCCTAAAAAGCGCATGTGTTGGAAACATGGTCCCCAATGCAGAAAGATTCAGAGGTTGGGCTTTTAGGCAATAATTCGCTTAATAATTTGAGTGGACTACGGGGTGGTAATTGTAGGCAGATGGGTCTTGGTAGGAGGAGATGGGTCATTGGGGGTGTGCCCTTGAGGAGGATATCTAGTTCCTGGCTCCTTTTTCCTCCTCTGAGCTGTCCTATTGCCATGAGCTGAGCTGCCTCGTCCACCACGCCCTTCTGCCATGATGTTCTGCCTCATCTCAGGCGCAGAGCAATGGAGCCCGCTGAGCATGAGTCTTCTGAAACTGTGAGCCCAAATTAAAGTTTCCTTCCTCTAAGTCACTCTCATTAAGAATTTGAGTCACAGTGAGGAAAAGGTGACTAACACAGTCTCTCTCACTCTGGCACAAGTAATATGTGAAGAATTAGGTGCTTCATGTGTATGTGATCTGTCTCTCAGCTAGAAATATGAAATTTCTGGGGGAGAAAAGGAACTTAGATTCATACCTTTTCAAGTATCCCCCAAAGAGTACCAGGCATGACAGAATATGCTCAGAAACTGTTTTATGATTGAATGAATTCCATTTTTTAGTTCATGAACACTGACTTTTATTCCAATTCATGGTCTAATTTCATACTCTACTGTTAGGGTTTAGATATGCTGTCCCCCAAAAGCTCATGCACGAGACAATGCAAGACGTGGAGGAGAAATGATTGGGTTATAGCCTTATCCTAATCAGTGGATTAATCCCTGATGGGATTGACTGACAGCTAACTGGAGGCAGGTGGGGTGTGGCTGGAGGAGGTAGTTAATCGGGGGCGTGGCTATGGGGTATATATTTGTGTGTGGAGAGTGGAGTCTCTCTCTCTTTGCTTCTGATCATCATGTGAGCTGATTCCCTCTGTCACACACTCTGCCATGATGTTCAGCCTCACCCCAAGCCCTGAGGAATGGAGCCTGCTGTCCATGGATGGAGACCTCCGAAAAAGTGAGCCCTCAAATAAACTCTTCCTCCTACAATTGTGTGGTTGGGACTTTTAGTCATAGTGGAGAAAAAGCTGACTAAAACATCTACCTTCTACTACAAAAAAACAAAAACAAAACTCTAATAAGAATTATTCCAGGGCTGGGGATGTGGCTCAAGTGGTAGCGCGCTCGCCTGGCATGCGTGCGGCCTGGGTTCGATCCTCAGCACCACATACAAACAAAGATGTTGTGTCCGCCAAAAACTAAAAAATAAATATTAAAAAAATTCTCTCTCTCTTTAAAAAAAAAAAGAATTATTCCACCTACAAGTGATAGTAAGTACCATAAATGATAAAACTTTATGTTCTCTAGTATGAAAATATAGAAATGATTCTTTAAATTTTACCTCATACAACAGAAGTATATCACTTTTTCAATAATTACAATCAATATTAAAATCCAATGACATATGAATTTATAGATAATATATAGGCCTTGCTGTTTGAGATACCCCAGGACAAAGGTGGTGGGATGTGTTAGGTTACCCTGCAAAGCACACGTCCCAGTAAAAAGCCCAAAGATTTAGACACTGTATTCCAAGTGAGCTCAAGAGATATTAAAAAACAACAAAAAAAAAACACACCAGTGAACACCTAATACTTACAAGGAACGAAGAAGTTATAGAGGTAGGAATTGGTGGTGGTGGAAAATCAGGCTTTGTAATTAGCTAGAAAGAAGACAAAAGCAAAGTAATTTGAAGATAAGTTATTGAAAACAGTTGTGCTTAATGAAAAGGTTTAAATTATTTTCAGAAATGGAGAATTTATAACCTTACCCATGAGAATATTCTAAACCCATGAGTTGCTTTCATGTTGGGGCACACATATAATTCATGCATAGTCCAATGACAATGGAAGATGGTTACTATGGACTGAGTGTTTGAGTCTCTCCATAATTTCATTTGTCGAAGCCCTAATCCCCATGTGATGGTGCATGGAGGTGGGGTCTTTGGAAGGAACATAGGTTTTGAAGGAAGAGCTCTCAGGATAGGATTAATGCTCTTACAAGAAAAGACACAAAGAGACGATCTCTCTTTCCCAACCATGTGAGGAGACAGTAAGAAGGCAGCTGTCTACAAGCCAGGAAGTAAACTCTTGCCAGACACCAAATCTGTCAGCATCTCCATCTTGGACTTTCCATCCTTTACAACAATGACAAATAGATGCTATTTAAGCCACTCAGTTTATGCCATTTTTGTTATATCAACCCAAACTGACTAATAATGGTGCTTCATGAAGCAGATTGGTACTCTTCTTATAAGGCATTATCAATTTCTCAGCCCTGGGGTTCAGTTTTAATGGTTAAATTTAGGAATATAATGGAGAGGTGCACATTCTCGTACTTCACATTTTCAAAACGTTTTGCAGAAGAATTTATATATTATATTCCACAAGTTTCAACATTCTTCTGGATAATTACTTGGGCATAGTGGGTTGTGTTTTTCACTAGTATCTCCTCGAGGGTGGGCAGGGTAGTACAGAGAGGCTGCTAACTCACAAGAGAAGCAGAGGCACACTGCCTTCCACAGGCAGAGCAGAGACACACAGCTTCATCCAACTCATCCCAAAACAAACAATCATATTTTTAAATAAAACCAATGGTTTCCTAAGTAAGCTTCCAATAAGTCACCCACTCAAAGCCTGGTAGCTCAGAGCCAAACACTAAGGGACAAGACAGGAAATCCAAGTGGCTCAGTTGGGGCATTTATAGGAGTATATCCCCAGAAGCATGATTACCAATGTTATTACCATTAACTAGCATCAACTAAAATCTCTAGACATGTAGAACATGACCAGGGTATTACATATTGCATATATTGTCATACAAAAATATGAAGCACTTTATCTATGGGGACATTTGCCCAAAGAACAAGGAATCAACCCAGAGTACAGAAGAGAAAGAAACAGAAGGAGACATTGGTTCTCATTGTTCATTACTCTCTTCATTCCATGAGCCCTAACCAAGTAGCCTCTGCATTTTAGGGATTCTTTTTCACATTAACAAAAGGCAAATTTGGGTAGATTTGAGAAAACACCGCAGGGCAAAAGTGTTAAGTATGTAGTCAGGATAGGAGAGTGCGAAAAAGTCACACACTGGGGCCTTGGCAAGCAGAGTGTCAACTGGAGTTCACCTCTTGGGGTTGAATGGCCTTCACCATCTGGGGCTTACTCTTCTGCATGTGTGGCCCGGTGTCAGTGGGGGATAGTGGCCTGAAAGCAAAGACACGTTGTATAAATTGACAGCACTTCCTTCGGCATGCCAGGGAAAGGATGGAAGACAGCCCACTGTGTCAGGTCTGCTTCTTGGCTGGGTTTTTCCTAGCTCCCCAGCATATTCTTGTATAGTTATCCTATAATTGAGAAACATCATTAACAATTTTGTTTTTATTTTCCCACAGAGCCTATTAGTAATGGTGTTAAAACCAATTTTTTAAAATCTGAATCATCTCATTTTATTATCTTTATTCATTTAATATTTATTGTTATGGATGAATAAATTAGCTTTTAAAAATGCTAAAAGGATTCTGTTGGATAAGAACCTTTGTAAAATCGTTTGTGAGACAGACAGATCTAGATGGAAATCAAGGCTCCGTTATTTACTCTGCAAGACTGTAAATCCCTTATCCTCTCTGAGCTGGTTTCCACATCAGTCACAACAACTCTTGCAGGATTGATAGGCCTCACCTTCTCATCTATAAGATGGAAATAACAGTAACACTTCATGAAGCTCCTGTCAGGATTAAATGAGATAGTGGGTATACTAGGGCTTGGCACGATGTTTATCATATAGTTAGTGATGAATAATTGCTAGATGCAGTGCTCTTATAATAATAAATGCAGCAGCCTTTAATAATGAGAGTTACTACCATGCTTATTATTAATTATAAATACAGTAATTAATAGAAGAATAAAATACTTCTTGCTATAAAGGATTTCCCAGAAAAAGAATTACCCAAACTCTGGCCCAAGATGTATGTATATTATTGAATACGTGAAGAAAACCAAAACTAAATTTGGGAGCTTGGATCAGACTCCTACATTTAAGGCCCCAGCCGAGTAAAGGTTTACCTCTGAACTTTCTTCCCCTTTCTTCTGGCATTTTGGTGCCGGATTGCTATGGCAACCACCACAAATATGACTGCCACTGGGAACAGCACTCCAACCACAATGGAGAAATCTGCAATAGAGAGGACAGGCGGAATTGGCATCTACATACCGCTTGCTTCACTGTGTGCACAAATTTGTCTCCCCCTTCCCCAAATAAACCTGTGTTCCTTGGAAAATATCTCACAGCCAACATAAAGAAAGTGTACTTTGATCATGACTATTGCATTAATATGTATAAAGAGGAAATCAGTAAGAAACATTTAATATAAGAAAAGCATCATACCACTGAGAATTCTCTGAAGGGTGATTCTGAGATAACAGGTAAATTAAGGGCTGGCAATTAGAAAAAATGAAAAGTAGAGAGGATGTCAGAGCGAGAATGAAATGCTTTTGAACTTCACTTTGGAATGAAACCAGCAAATGAAAATGCAACCTGGAAATGATATTCTCGTCAGTAGCAAATAAGGAGCTGAGATATTAGTAAGAAAGCTGATGCAGACGACTGTTTTTCTGATATTTGTTGTATATTGGTCAGAAAATAAACTACTTGACCCCGTGAACCAGGGAATGGTTTTAACCAATATTCCTGGGTCCTTGTGGTGTTTTCTCTTTTATAATGTCTGCTATCTCAAGTATTTATTTCTCTTTTAATAATCAGAAACCACAAGAGACCAGGAGGTACAAGTCTGAAGAGGAATGCAGAGAGATCCTGCTGTCATTATAGAGATCAGCATACCTGTCACAAGATAATTTGATATAACTGGGTGCAATGGTGCACACCTGTCATCCCACCTACTGTGGAGGCTGAGGCTGGAGGATGACAAGTTCCAGGCCAGCCTCAGCAACTTAGCAAGATTCTGTTTCAAAATATAAGTAATAAAAAGAACCAGGGATGTAGCACAGTGGTAGATCACTCCTGGGTTCAGTCCCCAATATGAAAAAGAAAAAAAAAAAAGGGTTAGTTGTTGTATAAATGCAAGAAAAGTTCACAAGTGTGAGCACATAGGCAGGTGGAAGTAGATACCTCAGAAATAAAATTCTAGGTAAGACAATGATGTCAGTTCAAATCTCCCCATCTTCCCTTCCATAAAAATTACTTTTCAGTAAAGTAAAAAGAAAATAAAGTTTGTAGGCATTTGTGTTAGATACAATGTAGATACCTTAAGAATGGAAAGAATGTATTTAAACTAAAAATGGAATTGTAATTCTATTTTCAAGATAGCAACATATCAGAAGAACTAAAGAGGAAGTTGGCTTTACAAACATCCCTAATTTGAAGGCACATGGTCTGGAGGTAAAGTTGGGGCACAGACAGAGAGGAGTATAATAACAGGAACTGAGTGTTCAGTTTAAAATGGAAATAATTGAAGAGTATATCTAATCTCTTTAATTCTCGTAATGGCAGTCTAGAAAATTTGGATCAACCTTCCCACTAAAAAGAATTTTAAAAAGCCAAATAAAATACTCCCTATGATGAAGGAAATATTGAAAAAAAATAATTGGAAAAAAAACCTGGAGAAATTGTAGAGATTAATGAGAGGGCAGGAATCCAGAGACAGACATGAAAATTATCCTGGACAGAATTAGGAAATTCAGAAAGGAATGAAGATCAAATGAGACCCTTTGTGTGAATTGTGGACTTTGGTAATAATGTTGTCAATGTCAGTTCATTGATTATAACAAACGTACCACTCTGGTTCTGCATGTCTCTAATGGAAATGACTGTGTATACCAGGAGGCAGGGGGTATAAGGGAACTCTGTTCTTTCTGTTCAATTTTGATGTGAACCTAAAGCTGCCCTAAAAATAAAATCTACTTTCAAAAGCAGATGAAGTAGAACTTTTTAGGATAATTACACTAAAAGAGTCTAAAAGAAAAGCATAACCTTCAAGTTAATAAAAAGAAAAAATGGAATGATTACAATACTCAATAAGTCTAGAAGACAGAAAAAAAAGAAAAGACAAGACAAATAGAAACTCTATAATTACAGATTTATATCTAAATATATCAGTAATTACATTGAATTTAAACTAAATCAGTACTCCAGATACATTGAAAAAAGAAAAATTAAAAAGAAAAAAACACAAAGCATGAGACTAAATCCTAAAGAAAGAGAGATATTTGCATGCATTTTTCTTTTTAATGAAAGAGACAGACATAAAGAGAATCCAGAAAGGATGAAAGTAAAAGTATGGAAAACTGATGTGCTATATACAAACACACAAAGAAACATAGTTTAGCTATATTAGTCTCTGAGAAGTGTTACTTTAAAAGGCAAGAAGTGCAGCCAGAGATGCACTGAACCTATAAAAATAGCAGAAATCATGTTCTCTGAGAGTTTTATGAGGTCATTTTACCTATCCAACAAGTCACGGCCCCTAGGACAGAGGAGTCATCATAAAGCAAGAAAATTTGGTATGTTAAAACAAAATTTGAGATTTCTTGGTCTGAAGAGTAAAAATATAGTTAATGGAAAAAAATGATTTAAAAGTCATTAAAAAGGCTTTGAGGATTAGTATTATGGAGTCTATGACTATAGAAGAGGAACTCCAAGAGGAGAGAAAAGAGGCAACAAAGTCCTACATGATATAAAACCAAAGCTTGGAGGAGCAGAGCAGTTTCCCAGGCTGCAGGTCACCTACGGAAGACGGTGGAAGAGTCGTCGCAGTCCGGAGGCGCCCATCCTTCTTCACACTGACACTGCAGCTCGTGGTCACACACCTGGAGGGGCAAGGGCGCTGTGAGTCTCCCCACTAGACTGAGCGCACACTCCAAAGCCCCGTTCCTCCACCACAAGCCCACTCTGAAACACGGTCACTCCTCCCCTCTGCCGTCCTTCACCTGCCCAGGTAAGGTCTGAGTGCCTCGCAGGCATTTCAGTAAATGTCCTCAGAAGAGAAGTCTCAGAGTCAGAGCTGCCGAGGGGTTGGCCACACTCAACCGTGACCCTTGAACCCCGAAAGCATTCCTTCTGCTTCACAGCAACTGACTTAAAATCACCTATGACTCTGCAGGCTCGGGAACACTCATTTTCACACCTTACCGCATGTCCTTTGCACTTGGAGGAGCAATTGGTCGACTTGTAGGTCCTCTCCATGTCCACACACTCTGCATTCATGCACACCTGAAAGGGACGTGAAAATGTGATCCTGGTGGCTTCATCTTTGCCAGTGGCTGACTGTGTGGAATCTGGTCTTCTGTTAGTCACTATTATTGTTATCCAACTTGCCTTCCTACTAAGGAAATTACAGTATTTTTCTGAAAGATGAAGATGGCACCTGAAAATTTTTATGATAAAACATGTGGGAAGCCCCCTTCATCGATAAATTCCTTCCTTTGCTTAATTCCTATGGATCTTTCCCTCGATCTACAGCTTCAGTCCCACACGTAAGATGAAGAGCACTGAACTAAGCCCTTCACATAATACAAGTACCCATTTCAAATAAAATTATTTTGGAAAATACATGCTGATATCCCAATACATGCCATATTATAACAATGATCATTTATGTAGAAAAAATATTTTTCTTGTTTCTCTCTGAATTATTATCAGAGTTGCTGTCATTCATTGAGCACCTACCAGTGTTGGAACACTAAAATTCATGAAGTTTGAAAACCTAGTCCCAAGTACCTAATAGGCACTTGTGAAATGCGTTTGGAGGACGTAATGCAGGATTAGGTAAGTGAAGTGCATAAGCCTTCTTCTGAACACTGTGCGCCTTGGAACACTAGGAGATGCTGCAGGAACAGACTTTGGAACCCGTTTTTCCTAGAGCAGCTCTGCTCTCATTTATTTTGCACCTCTGGGCTTCCTCATTGATTCCATTCGACTAAATCATTCTACTGTGAAAACCAAGTGGGAAGATTTCAACATAAAACATCTAAATATGTTGAAGCCGCTTTTCTTACTTTGATTATTTAACATGCACATAGCAGATGCAGGTGTTTGCTGCAGACATCCAACTTTATTAATATGTAGGGTCCACATGTGCTTCCTGGGGAGACTGAGGCCTTCCCTACTTCAAAGGATGAATTTAGGTGAACACAAGTCAACCATGGTCATTCCTTGTCCCTTGTCAAGTATTAGTTTAAGAATGGGTAATAAAATTATGGGCGAGAAATGATGATGCCAAGTCTGCCAGAAATGTGCTTCTAAGAAAAATTTCTTCACTCCTAAGAAAAGCCACCCAAGGAAAACCTTGTGTTTTCTGCTCCGCACTCCAGCCTGGAGAGTGGGCAGTGCTCCTGGACCATGCAGGCCAGCGTTCTGGAGACAGCAGGGGGCAAGGAGAAAAGGAACTAGCTCCTTGATGGTGCCAGGGTACCACCAAATCAACCATGTGGTGTTCTGGACTTAGCGTTGCTTGAATTAATCAACATCCTGACTGTTGAAGTCCATTTTAACCTGAAGCAGCCTGATATAGTGTGGGAACTGATGCTAAGGTGCGACAGGAGCCATAAGACAAGCAATGTTGTAAAGTCAAAACCCAATCATCTGTCTTTGATCATGATTGAGGGGAGAGATTTTGTAACAGAGAAGAAAAAAAGGAAAGTGGTGTGATGGGTAGAAGTCATGTTACACAGCCAAGTCCAGAGAGAGAAGCACAGGCCTTTGAAGTGACATCCGTTCTGTAAGAAGTTGAGAAAGCTGAGAGTGTGTGATGAGGTTGACAGGCACTGTCTAAAGTGGCCCCGGCATGCCTTTGTCAAGGGAGAAGGTAAAGATACACAATCCTCCTCTTTCCTCTGCAGATGCCGGTTTGAAAAGGAAAATGGAGATGGCCTTGTTTGCCTGTGCCCTTCCTTTAGTTAAGCTAACCCCATATGATTGATAAAGTTTACCTAAACAGTGATCTACTTTTAAAGACTCCCAACCACTTTATATCTCAGGAACAGTGACTATACAAGAAGTTAAGGATCGGATACTAATGGTAAGATGATCTTAAAGGCAGAGAACCCAGGGATACCTAACTTCTGCCTCAGTCTACACGTCCCTCCTCCCTTAAGGCCAAGCACTGCAACTCATCCAGGCTACTGTGAGATGTCTTAAGGCCTTTAAAAGCTTCTAGAAAACCTAAAGGAACCAGCATCTGAAATCTGGAAGATCCGATTAAAGACTGCCTGCTTCACGTGGGAATTCTTGCCCTTGATGATGGCGTGTATTTTAAGAAACGTACTGGGAAGGAAGATCAGATGCTGAGGACCTCTTAAGAATCTAGAACTAACATTTCATTTCAAATCTGCAGAATTTAAGTCTTTCTAAATTTATATGTTTGGCTCCAAGACTCATGGGCCATGCCAATTCCATATGCTTTTTTTATATTTTTGTATTTGTTTTCTGATTTTTTTTTAACTAAATAATACCAATACTGAACCATAAAGATAATTTTAGACTCATTTGTCAATAAATTCACATTTTAATAGCTCAAACAGGTTAGGAAATAAGATAATATTTTACAACAATAAAAAATCAGGGCAATTCTTGGGTTCTATAGATATATGAATGCAATAAATAGGCTTATTCTAATCTCCTATGGGAGATGAACCACATTATCAAAGTTCATGTTGGCCCCAGTCAAGTAGTCCCTCTGCCTGAGATTGTGAGATTATTATACTTTTAATGAATGTATAGATTGTTAACTGAAGTGTAGTATCCCACACCTTGGCACTTTCAGTGGTTTCCAGATTTAACGTAGGAGAGTGGACAGTGCTCCTGGACCATGCAGGCCAGCGTTCTGGAGACAAACATGGGCTACCCATGTATGGCCGGCATGCATATCACACCTTTCCTGAAATCATACCTGTAAATCATTATTTCAAATTTCACCACAATGTTTGGGAATATTAACAACAGTTCCTGTTCTTGCTCTCTGCTAGGTTCTCTACCATTCTCATATCTTAAATTGCTTATAGGTATAACAAATTCAAATTCATAGCTATTGTATCAAAACACAATGAATTCAATAATTGGGAAACAAGGAAAGTGGTTAATAACTGAGAAGCAAAACAACACAGGCCAAACCAAGCATCCCCAAAACAAACAACAAAAAACATTCTGAGTGACATCCACAATTTCAACTTGCCTTGTTCTTCCCACACTTGGTTCCATTGGCCACCATGTCTATTCCTTGACTTGTATCTTCAGGATCAAATAGTTTACATGTCTGGAAAGATATTATAAATCCTTTCCAGGGCAAATTACCTGACCCACCTTGACAGAACAACTTGCCACACATGATGTCTCTGAGGAAAAAGCCACAATTATTTCAGGGTTCAGATTGTAGTTTTATATAAACACAGGTCAGCTCGGTGGCTATCAATATTTAATAAAGAATGCTTCTCTCTGTAGCAGAGACTACTAGTTTGTATTTTATATGCCTTTTTTCCCTCATTCCTCAGTAATAGAAACCCTAGAGATTAGTAAAACACACTGTTGCTCAAATAAACACCTTTTCCAGATCCCAGGAGAGCTCATTTTTACAAGTTGCCTAAGTTCTAGTCAATGGGAAAGAAGCAGAATCTTAAACTTAGATTCTAGGAGATTGTCCAAAATAAGGAGATATGTCCAACCCCTCAGCATTTTCTCCTTTCTGCTGATTGGGGTGTGATAGCTGGAGAAGCCCTTACAGACCAAGAGAAATACTTGAGAACAGAGGTTGTAAGTGTGGTACTGCTAGAAGATACACAGAGGATGGATTCCTAACATCATGGAGGGCACCTAAGAGAGTAATATACTTGTTTTTATGACTTGGAGCAGAAAAATTCTAACAGATAAAACTCTTAATTCTCAACTAGAGTTAGGTGCATACAAAACTGAGCCTCCCTTGATTTTTAAGGCTTTAGTGGGATTACAAATAGAACAGTTATGCAGGATAACATGGGTGCACAGGTGCAGAGGAAACATGGAACTACCCAACTTCCTTCCCACTCACCGCCTATCGCCCTCTGACTCCCACACATTGCTTTTTACATAATATTCCCTCTTTTGAATCTGCCCTGGCTCCTGCCAAAGAGACACCCCCACCATGATTTGTTATTTAGGCCAAGATTCCTCTAAGAGAAGGCCCAATTTTGTTTGGTAATATTTGTCATCCAGAAACATTGGTGTTCATTAGGAAAACTCTGAGAAACACTGATCTTGTTCAAGCCTCTTGTTATAAATTACTTTGTGTATATAAAATTTGAAGCTGGTACAAAGAGTTTAGTATAATTTGAATTCTAAGCCATTTTAAATTGCAGAATCAAAAAAAAAGGAAAGAAAAATCTCAATTGCATCCGCTGAGATATTCGAATTTTTTTTATTTTTTGCAGGATATAATACTAAAAATAAAACAAATTTTCAATCTTATCTCTTACTGACTCTTTATGTAATTCCACGGCTAAATTAAATAAAACTGTCAGTGTCCTGTATCAGTTATTCCTCAAGGTAGATGAATATTTCTACCTGCCAGACTCATAATGAAAAGCAGTAGATTGAAAAGTAGCTAAAGAATACTGGAAAGTTCATGGGAAAATTTCCAACCAGCACTATTCACTCCTGCATATTTGATCTCCAATCTCCATTCTACTATAACAACAGTGCTTGGTGCCATCTGCAGAAAGAGATTCAGTACCTAGCCCAAACATGGCACATAGTCGTCAATGAAAGTATGTCAAAATGCTTGGATCTGGATTCTCTTTTCCTTTAACTGGAATAAATCAGAATGTGAGCTGAAGTGTGCCATTACCCTAGTCTGTGGAGAAGAAGGTTCAAACAAGGTCACCTACTTTGCTTTACAGGGAATGCGAGTGTCATTTTCTATGTGACAGTATCCATACTTGGACCCATCTTCATTCTTGTGGTAACAGGACTCATCTGCAGCCTTGGTTCCTGGGTGCAAGTGGGGAGACATAGGAAAAGAAAAGAGGCAAGAAATTTAGTTCTGCAAAAGACTAACGACATATAAAACTAGAATGAAAAGTACATATTGAGTAACCTTTATCTAAAATTCTTGGGACCAGACTGTTTAGGATTTAAATCTGGGATGTGGGTGGAATTTTTCATATACATAATGAGAAAGCTTGGGGATGGGACCCACAGCTAAATAGAAAATTCACTTATGTTTCATATATACCTTATACACATATCCTGAAGGTAATTTTATACAACATTTTTAGTATACCTGTGTTTTGGCTGTGACTTGTCACGTGAGGTAGATGTGGCATCGTGTTGGTAGTCAAAATAATTTGGAGTGTGGGAGCATTTTGGACTTTAGATTTTCAAATTAGAGACACTCGGCCTGTACTATTTTTGCATAATTTCTATTGACCATTCTCAGAAATACAGATCTCAATGTTTGGTATCAGAGGATCTGGTTAGAATTTAAAATAATCTTTTAAATCTTCTGTTATTGAATATGACTAATAAATTTTAGAAGTATTTGAATGATTTGCTGAAGGTTAAAAACCCATCTGAGTATAGAGACTTAGCCAGAAGACATGCTTTCTGTCACCAGCCTACAAGCATCCATATTCAAATGTTATCTTGTTTTTTTAGATCAATGATGAAATTTATTTTGAAGATGATATTCTATGAGTTTTATGAGGAAAATATTATGGTTATTCATAGTTTTGAGAAAACATGAAATAGTGTAAAACATTCTAATGAAGATTTTAGAAAGTCATAATTAGCTTAATAAGGAAATCAACTTAAAACTCAGTTAACAAAGTATTTGATTGCAGTTATCCATCTACTAAATATAGATCTACCAAAATATAAATACTCAAATATAATAGAAAGTAGTAGGACTAAAATTGTTTAGTTGGATAAAATATTTTTGAAAATATTCCTGTGCACATCTTCCACATAAAAGAGAAAAACTTTCACCAGTCACGGTGGCGCAAGCCTATAATCCCAGCAGCTCGGGAGGCTGAGACAGGAGGATCACGAGTTCAAAGCCAGCCTCAGCAATGGTGGGGTGCTAAGCAATTCAGTGAGACCCTGTTTCTAATAAAATACAAAATAGGGCTGGGGATGTGGCTCAGTGTTGAGTGCCACTGAGTTCAATCTCTGGTACCCAAAACAAAATAAAGAGAGAAAAACTTTCATAAAATACTTTGTCAATATATGGTGCCATGGTGACTCTATTTATGTTCAAACTCCTACTATGTGCCAAGCAAGTGGCAAATGTGTTTAAATTCTCATGCAGTCTCCCCCAGACAGACAAGCACAAACCAGTGGTTAAGAGATCAGGCACCAAGCAAAACTGAGGCAACTGTGTGAACCTGGGCAAGTGTCTGATCTCCCTGGGTTTGCTCATCCTTGAAATGAGGACATCTGCTAAAGTGAGTAAATGACAGCCACGGAGAAAGGTGCCTGGTGAGCAGCATGTGGCCAAGAACACTAGCCTTTCTTATTGTCATTCTCATTTGATCAATGAAGAAACTAAGAACCATATTAAGTCACAGAGAGATAAAAAAACCAACTTCACGCCCACTGCTGAGTGGAAGACCTATATGCTTTCCTTGGGATAGGCTGTCCTTATGAAAAATCACTAAACGACTCTTTCTTAGGTACTGGGGAATTTTGAATAAATCTTTGACAACTGACAAACAAGGTTAAAATAAGCAAAAGTCTCTGAGGATATTGTGTCATTTTCAAGAAAAACCTATTAAACATATTGTATTGCTTTGTAAACTCAAAACATTATAGATGAACTTCATGTTTCAATATTCAAGACAATGAGTTTTGTCACTATATTTTCATGATTATTTGAATGTAAGTAACATTACTAACATTTATTATACTAATAAAATACACTGGAAAAAAAAGAATAATTAGGTGTGAGTAATCGTATTCCTAATCCCAAACCTCTGAGTTCCTCTTGCTAAGATTACAAAAAGTATCATTCATAGGCTGCATTTTAACTTGCTTTATCCCAATTAATATGTCAGTACCTTTCCAGACATTAAATATGCTATGGCATTACAGCTGCAAAAATGTCATTAGATTAAAAACTATAGTTTATTTCACCAATCCTTAACTTTTGAATTTGGAAATATTTTAATATTATTCACTATCATTTCAAAAAGGGTGGCAGAAAAATTATTGCTAATACATATTTCTTGGTATGATTGCTAGGGAGTACAAAACAATACTTTTAAGGTCGTGTAAGTGTTTTTCCACATTCTCTCTAAAGACTGTGCTAATCCTTATTTTTATTAGTGACATAGGGAAGTTAGGTGTGTTGTCACATCTTTGCCAACCCTGAGCATTAACACCTGTGACACATCTTTGCCAGGACACAAACATACAAGTTTAATTTGTTTTCATTCATAGTTCTCATACTGGTGGTGAGTTAAAATAATTTTAATTTTTATTGTATTTTTTCTTCATTATGAACTGCCTGCTTGTATCTTGACCACATTTCTAGTACTTTGAATTTCTATTGATTTGTAGAAATGATTTGATGCTCAAAAGTGATTTTTTATTATGTGTCTATGTTATGCTATTTTTCAGATTAAGATAAATTTGTTATTATTATAAATTGTAAAATTGAGAATTGGGGGCCTGGTCTGCTTCTGTAGTATTTGATAATAGTTTTTAATGTGAGATGTAAAAGGTCTTCCCCATTCTTATCAAATAAGAAAAGGCAACATTAATTCAATAGATACTTTTGAATATTTACTAAAGTCAGGCACTGTAGTAGGAGGTACTGAAAATACACCTATGCAGAAGATGGATCGTATCCCTATACTAGGAAGTTTACAGGATTTAGTGGAGACAGATAATAAATACAGTCAGTCAAACTAAGGCAGTAGGTAACATCTATCAATTTTTTTTTTAACCAGGTAATAAAGGAGATGCTTAGAGCTTTGCTTCTGTGCTAAAGATTTTCTTTCCCAAGGTTTTTGTCATATAACCAAGTTAGCCAGGGCAGCATGAAGTCTTAGCCAGCAAAATCAGTTTCATTCTACCTTTACTGCAGCATACCCAGCTGCAGAAAATACAGACAGGATGGCTGAAGTCAGATTCCAGCGCATCCCTCACTTCCTGATGCAATAATGGCACCAAGATTTGATCTTCAAATTAAGTCTCTTGCTGAACACAGAAGTTTTTATTTACAGATTTTTATTTTATTTTATTTTATTTTTATTTTGAGATTTTTATAGGATTCTGATGTTTCTTGTTTTTCTGGGTATTTTGTGCATCAGGAATGCTTTTTTCTTTCCTTAGTCTTGATTTATTTTCAGGAATTAGGAAAATGTTCCTGCATGCAACCTTTTCAGATATTTTTAGGAATATGTAGATTTTTTTTCTTTTTGAATAAGAATTTCCTCAGTCATTTAAGTAGAAATTTGAAAGTGTGGTGGGAAGGGCTATGAAAATTAAATCCATGGACACAATGCAGATCATATTTGGGAAATCCAAATAATTGCTTAAAAAAAAAAAACAAACCCTTCTTTTTTTTTTAATAGAATTTTGTAACCTAAGATAGCATCTTTCTGACCCCTCTCTGAGCCCTTGATAGTCATCTTTCTATTCTCTATTTCTACAAATTCCACTGTTTTTCAGCTTTTACATGTGAGATCACTTATGTGATCTAAAATTGTCTTTCCAACCAAGCTATTTAATATAATTTAAATGTTAAAGTTTTTGGAGAGCTTTAAATTACACTTTTATTTTGAAAGTTTTTATTATGGTTTAATCAGAGTCTGATCTCTAAAATTCCAGGGACCAAAGTATCTGAAGAGCTTTCCCATTTCCTCATTGCGCTTCCACATTCCAGCCTCAACATTAAAAAAAAAAAAAAAATAGTTTTAGATGAACACGATATCTTTATTTATTTATTTATTTGTTTGATGTTTTTTTTTGTTTGTTTGTTTGTTTTTTGTGGTGCCGAGGATCAAATCTAGTGTACTCTACCACAAAGCCACAACCCAGCCATTTCTTTGTTTTTGGTAACATTCCCCAGTATTCCTGCCACTCAAGCATGCATTGCACCCTTATGTGCCCGCGCGCGTGCATCCACAAACTTCTAAAGTTTGCTTGTCTGTGAAACATCTTAGGGTTGACAGACAAAACCCTGGATATCCAATTTAATTAGAATTTTAGATGGTTTTTCTTTTCTTTCTTTTTATTTATTATTATTATTATTATTATTATTATTATTATTATTATTATTATTTTAGTGTATCTCAAATACTGCATGGCACATAGTGATACTAAATCACAAATGTAGTTAATCTGAAATTAAAATTTAACTGGGTTATCATTATCTTTATTTGCCAAATCTGGCAATTCTAAACTCGTTAAGTCTTAAAATACACTCATCCGTGGTTTTGAGTGTGACACAGTTTAAAGAAGAAGGAAAAGAATGGCCCTTTGCTGATGATTACATTGTCATCCAAAGGATCTTTCTCTGCATGTGCATAGAGAGCCAGGTTCGTCCCCTACCTGGGCCCCACATCTCTGTGCACTGCTGCTGCAGCGTAGGGCACCGCCCATTCAAGCAGTAACCCCGCCCATTTTGGCAAGGGAAGCCATTGACTCGGAATCTATCACTGGAGCAGCGACTGGATTTACCATCACACATCTCAGGCAGGTCGCACTCGTTGTTTGCAGGTCTGCACACAGTCCCAGCCTTTCTAAGCTGCAGGGGGGAAAAAGTAGAGAAAGGCTTTTTTCCCATCTCCTTTGCCCCAATACCTCAAATTAACACAAATAATCATTTCCATTTGACCTTTTGAGGCATGGAAATGAGAGGCATAATTTTCTTCAGTTTATTTTTGCTCTGAATACTTTAAAGCCACCTCTTGTTCTGTTGATGTCCATCAACGCCCTAAGTTTTTAAGCAATCAATGTTTTGAATTTATAATGTAACCCCTAAAGAATCATAGAGGAGAAAAGTCCACAAGAAAAATCAAGCAACATCTCAGACGCAGAGAAGGAAGTTATTTCTTTCTTTGTTTGATGCATGTACGTGGAGATTTTCAAAACTTAAATCTGTAGCTTCAGAGGTTTATTGAATCATTTGTATTGAGGAAGATAGTTTTACAAGCAGCAGATCAGCATGACCTGAGACTTTCCCAGGCATCAGGTTTCCTTAGTCTTAATTCCTTTTATTATAAGGTTCAGATCTTTCTTTTCAATTCCCTTCTTTCTCAGAAACGATTCATCATGAAGAAAAAAAATAACCGAAAGTTTACTTGATGTCTTAACTCTGTTGCAATCTAATACTGCAAATCTTGCTCTTACTTCCTCAGAGAAAGCTATGCAAAACTACTTCTGCCCTTCATGTGCATCTGGGGGAGCAGGTTTTCTCCCTGGTATGTGCGTGGGCACATTCTCTTTGCACTCAACAACCTCGGCCATCCTTACACCAGTTACCAGATCAAACCCACTTCTCAGAGAATGGGCGATCCTTCACAGTCAAGCCCAGCTGCCCCAGGCGGACTAGCTTTCTTAGCTGCAGTACAAGGATGCTTGTGCCCTGTTTGCTCTTAATTTGCCCCCGTATGTAGATTCTTTCCCTTCTTGTATACATCTAAATCTAAAATCAATACTTTGTTTTTCTTTCCAGACAAGTTGAAAGCCCTCTTCCTCATGATGGACTACCTGACCTCTTCAGTACAAATTGCTATTCTTGTTTTCTACACAAGGTGGGTAAGGGCACTGAATTTGAATTTAGATGATGATAAGGTTTTGAATCTTTTCTCTGCCTATTTCTAGATGCTTAACATAAGAAAATGGATTTAATCTCACTGAAGATCCATTTCTTCAACATCTACTTTACAAGGTAACTGAAAATATGCATAAAAAGTGTCATAGTATCAATATGGGCATCTATCTAATCATGCATTATTTTTTCATCTGGTTCATGTGTGTATATGATTTCCCAAAGGGAATAAATAACAAGTTCCTTGAGAAGAAAACTGATTTTTTAAAAATCTTATCTCTAACAAATAGCAATTAATAAACATTTGTTGAATACTAAGTTCTCAAATTCACTTCTTTTTGATCTCTTTCAATTGTACTCTCCCTCTGACAATAACAAAGAAATATAGCAAACACTTTCTATAACCTGGTATGTTATCTGAAAATTAATTCTGTGAAAAGTTCTTGTGCCTTTAAAATGTATGAAAATCTACACTAGGTGGAAGAGAATCAATTTTCTTGCCCTTAGGAACCAATCTAACCAAGAAGAAAAATATACAGAGAAATGATCACAATATGGAGTTATATGCAGTATGTAAACTACAAACTCCACCTTAAAAGAAAAGTCAAAAAGCCCCACAGATAAAAATAACATGTCTTATTTCTAAGACTTTCATCCTGAAGTAGCTTCAAACATTGAAGATAGGAGCACTGCTACACTATTCAAATTTTAAAAAACTCTTTAACCAAACATCGCGAGATAAAGCAAGGATGGGAATAACTAGTGTGGCATTGTAGCAGGTCATGTTTGGGATTTGCCCACTAGCTAGTGACCATATTACTTATTTTTGAATTTATTTTTAATTGTAAAATAATGTTTAGGGTACACAGCATGTTTTGAAGTATGTACACTGGGTGAAATAATTACTACATAGTTAACATGTGCACACGGTGAGAACACATGGAATCTCTTAGCAAACTTCCAGCATTCTGTAATGTTATTATCTACAGTGATTGTGATACTCATTAGATCTTTAGCTTCATTCATACTACGTAATTGAAACTGTGTACCTTTTACCTAGCCTCTCCCCAGATCTCCCCTCTCCCTTCTCCTGGTAACCACTGCTCTACTCTCTGTGTCTATATTTGACCTCGTTCAGATTCCATGTGGGGATGAGATCAGGTGATATTTTTCTTTCTGTGCCTTGCTTTTTCACTTGACAATGATAATTACTTCAAGATTTTCCAGTTGACACAGTTCCTAGTGGCCATTTTATATTTCACATTTTCTGTTCTGGGGAGTCTCCATTTTGCTTCCAAAGCAAAATGAGATAATATCACTTTCCTTGCATTGTTGGAAAATTATTTCCTTCCATGCAAATCATTGACGGAGGACTTAGAAATGTGATACTTGGTAAATTTTACAGAAAGGAAACCAGTGTTTTGCTTGTTTCACTTAACAGAATCACTGAGATGTTCATATAGAAAGAGCCAGTTAATCTTACTTGGCACTTTTCACAGCATTCTCCTGTCGCACATTGAAACCCTGCTTTGGTTTTACATGTTTCAGCATCACAGCAAATGTTGGTGCATTCCTAAGACAGAACAGAAACAAATGAAAATTACTTTTCGGTCCCATTTCAACACAAGTCATATAATTTATTTATCAGAGAGACAGTACTTTAAAAATACTCTTTTAAAAAAAAAAGTAAAGATAAAACAAAAGTTGTTTTTGGTTTTTTTTGGGTGTTGGTCTCAAACTTGGGGCCTTACATGGCTAGAAGAGTATTCTACCACCACTGAGCCATACTGCCAGCCCTAACCAAAACCAAACATTAGAAAAATAGATTCTGGAGTAAATGGTGGTTTGTATTTATCTGAATTCTACTTACATCTGTTTTTTATAACTTAAATGTCTTTTCTATTATTTTTTTTAAATTTAAACTTAAATAACTTTCCCCTAATCTTCAATTTCTTCCATATCAATACCACTCCCCATCCCCTGCCAAAAAAAAAAAAAAAAAAAAAAAAAGGAAGAGCTAGTCTTCTTGGTAAAATATAAAGAAAAACAAAGAAATAAAAGTATAGTTAGGATAGGTTTTTTAAATACTAAAATGTATCTAAATAGTTGTAGAAATAATTACTGCAACTTGTCAGTTGTGTACCTATCCAGCAGTCAATGTGGTGTCTAGAATATGAACTAAAAAGCTATCTCTAAAGTCCTTTATCCAACTCTGATTTTTAACTCTACTCTATAAGACACAGGCTTTGTCTCACTCTCCCTGCCTTGTTCCAAGAAATTAGAAGCCTGCCTGCCCCAGGCCCTGGAGAAACTCCTGCCTTGGGCAATGTCCCTTGCAGTTGTCTAGATTCCTAGACAACAGGGATACTTGTATAGTTATAATATTTTAAAATTAAAACTAGAGCCCTTATAGCCCTTATTTGAAATATGAACATCTTTTAGGAAAAAATATTGTGGCTCATGGACGGAACAAATGTGGAACTTTATTAGTGAGCTAGCGCACAGCCAAACCCTGAGGGTTGATGCACTACTTCTATCAGGGTTAGTAAGATGGGGGAAAAGACCCCATTCAGAAACATGGCTGCCTTGTGAATAGGGTGAGATCGGGAGGTCCCCTGATGGCAGCGTCTCAGTCGTGAAGCAGGACAGGATGTAACTGGTGCTTTGGCTCCAGAAACAATACCCCCAAATTCAGACCCTGGTTTCTTCACTGACCAGCTCTTGACCTGGAGCAAGCCAGCTACTCACTTTCTCAGCATTGTCACAGTGCCACATCTTAAGTGAGTCACAATGAGTCACAGCCACATGAGAAACTTGAAATATTTCAGCCATACAGAGAGGGATGGGGACACAGAGCCTAAGTTGGTGAGGGATGGGAGGAGCACTGAGAGGGAAATTAGCAAGGTCTACTAAACCATGCCAGCTCCTTGTCAGGAAGACCGGCCTGACAGATCCCCACCAGTGACCATACCCCAAACAGATTTACAGCATGCCACGTGTTCTATGATACTTTTTCTTCTTAGCAATGATAAACAAACTAGAACCTTTTAGAAAGGGCTTGGTAGTACCTCAGGGGTCCCACAATCGCAGTCCTCTCCCACTTCTATCAAATGGTTCCCACAGATGGGGGTAGATATGATATCTGCAGGAAATGGGGTATTAAAGAGGCAATTTGGTGATTTCTCTTCAAGGAACTTGTAGTAGTTGACACGGCTGCAGGAACTGAAGTCCGTGGGTATATAGAAGCTGTGAAGGTAGAAAAAGAGAAAATGGAATACAATCATGCTTAGCATATGGGGTGCCATGTCTGATATTGGGTACGATTATATCTACAACCCTCCCCTAAAGATCAAATCCAATCCTCTGATCAATTGCTAAATCATGAAGTCATTTGCATGCCTGAATTAACCCACCATAGTGTACATAAACACCCCAGCTTAGTAAGAACATATGGCCACATCTCAAAGCTTAGCGCTGGCCATTTTCAATAAAAACATGTCTGCCTTACCCAGATAGTCTCATTTAGCCTTAGATCATTCAGTGTTGCAAAAATCCTAAAGGTAGCAAAATCTTATTTATGTACATGTCTAAGGATTCACTTTCTTTCAAATAAATTTCAACTAACAATCTCTTCATCCCACAAATAAAGATGAGGCTTAAAAATACATTAATATCTATGGCACCTATCAAACTACATAACTGGCATGCAGTCACGCCCTATTTTGGGAAGGGGCATGGGGAAATAACCCTGGCTTGAGTGAGCTGGGGGATGAAAAAAGAGGACATGAATGCCTAAAAGAGTCTGAGACAGCTTAAAAGATGAGACTGGCTGAAGTGTTGCCCAAGGCCAGACAGGAATATGTCATCTCGTCACAGACTATCTTCATTGTCCAGAGTGAGAAGCTTCTTGTTTAACTAGACTTTTCTTTAGGAACCTTTTCCATACCACCAACCATTCTGAATTCATGGGAATTTTGATAAATGCTAATAACTTTCTGCAGCCACATTTGTGCACATCAGGATAAAATGATGAGATGCCCCAAGAGCAGAAAGATAATTTACTGAAACTACATTTTAGTTGACAAAAACATCATTTATAGATGAAGGGTAAGGTAGTTTGGCACAGATATACCCATGAGTACTGCAGTTATTAAATTCAAAAAACTGAATACATTGCTGAAGACCTAAAGGGTAGGGCAGCTCAGCCAGGGTCAAACTCAGGAACAAACGGCTTGCCCCCAGAGGCTCACCTTACTCTTTGCTCCATCACGCACACTGTGGAGGGGCACTTGCATTCATAGGAGTCATGAATCATCCCAAGGTTGTGGCCCATTTCATGGGCCATTGTCCCCGCAACTCTATGAAGATTGCTACTGTGGTCCTAAGGATAAGAATGGGGGAATGGAATCTCATTTCCAAAAGGAATTATAAATTGAAGGATGTGTTTCTCATTAAAACTCTTCCTGTTGTCTAGTGGAACAAAGAGATTCATTCCAGCTTCTCTCTCTCTTACACACCCCCCCAACACATACACACACAAATCTCTTTGATACTAAGTGCCCATCACTACATATAACTGGGCCAATCTCTCTTCCAATTTTATGGCAAGCTCTTTCAGGGCAGACAATGTGTATTTTACTTCTTTTCATCCCATGAAACCCATCACAAACCCAGATTCATAGATAGTCACTCAAAGTATTTTGTCCCATTTCCACCTGGGATGTAGAGAGCTGGGATATTGTTATTCTTCCACCAACCAGGCAAAGCACATAAACAACTAGTCCTCCCCTTAAACCCACCAGTAAGTTGGGGTTACAGGAACCCAATGAGTCTGAAAATATATTTAAAATGAAAGCAAGATAAAGTCTTTCTCAGACAAACAAACTGAAAGAACTCACTGGATTAAAGAAACTTTTATTTTCAAGATCCCCTGGAAGGAAAAATATATATATATAATATTGGATAAAAAGTCGATTGTTTACAAGAAAACTAAAGAGTGCTGGGAATGTGATGGGATGGCAGTAAACATAAAGCCAACTCTTCTTAATTCAAGTTGCAATGACAAACGACTCTTTATAGCAATGCTAGCAGCAACGCATGTGAATCATGGCTGACTTAAATACGGCAGCAATAGTGCAGTGGATGGGAGGGAGAATTAAAGGTATTCTCTTAAAAGTTCTGAAACTACATACGAAGCAGTGTAACATTATCAGCCTTCTCTCTCTCTCTCTCTCTCTCTCTCTCTCTCTCACACACACACACACGCACAAATCCCTTTGGTACTAAATGCCCATCACTACATATAACCATATTTCTTCCAATTCTATTCTGAATGCCAGAGAATCAAGGCATTGAAAACATATTACAAATCATTCTATGTGACTAACTTTACTATGATAACAAAGAACAAGAAAAAAAGAAGAAGAAATATATACACAAATTATAAAATGGTAAACTGAAAAGCATAGATGTATGATAAGTCTCAGGCAAACATTAAAACAAATAAAGTTGTCAACAAAAAGCTTAAGATGGAGATAAATAAAATTATTATTGAAAATACTCAATCTTAAAGATGGCAATAAAAATTGAAATAAACCAAAGACTAGGTGGAATAGAAAACAGCTAGCAAGATGAAAGATTCTAACCCAAGAATATATATATATATATATCTCTCTCTCTCACACACCCACACACACACAC